TTTCAATATGACCAAGTTTCCACTTCTTGTAGCATTCCCATCTGTCAGAAAGTTATCCCCATTACACCCCAAGAATTTATCAGACCATGTGTGTATTGCTTGTGCATTATAAGACGTGTTTCCCTCCCAGAAGATGTCCCAATAATTAAAGTTCCCCATAAGAACCAGGTCTTTTGATTTGGAAGCTTCTGACAGTTGTTTAGAGAACACGTCATCCACCTCTTCCTCCTGATTTGGTGGCCTATAGCAGATGCCTACCGTGCTGCCCCCCTCTGCCCTGCTGTTCTCCCCTCTACCCCTTACTCAGAGGCTTTCAGCAGGCTTACCACAGAATACATGTACTTCTCCTTTATATGCAAGGCAATAACTCTTCCTTTTTTCCCTTGCCTAACCTTCCTGAACCAGTTATAACTGTCGGTGACCATGCTCCAGTCATGTGAACTATCCCACCTCACCTCTAATCACAGTTACATCACATGGGTCAACACTGTTGTCTTTAAAGTGAAGAATTAATTTAGTTTTGATACCTTAACTGCATTTAATTTCTGTGCTGGCCTCACTGGATAGTAGATCTACTTCTTTTCTTGTTCTCTTTTTCTGTGTTTGACTGGAGAAGCATATGCCATTTATCTAATTATGTTTTGCAAGGTTGAACTTGGCTTGACTTTTAGCAATCATCACTTTATAAATATATTTCTTGACCTCTAAGATATAGCTTTCTTTACTGACCAGTCATTTTTTCCTATCTGTCCTTATTGCAGTTTCTGGGATAGGTATTCATTCAGTTACATAAAGCCCTTTCCTGCATTTCTTTTCTTTCCTGATTTGCAGTGTATACACATTCAGATTTAGTACCTTTGGCTTGAAGAAATTCCAGGGCTCTGCCATAGTCTAGACCCTGAGCTCCTCAATCTTGCTGATTTCAGATTAGGTGTACTTCCACTAACTGTAATACCAAACTACTGTTTTTTTTAATATTAGTACTTTCTTTTTTTCCTATCCATCCTTCTACTCACTGCAAGTCTTTTATGCATTGTCTTCCTCATGTATTTGAGTTCTTTCTTCCCCGTGTACTGAAACCAGAGTGGATTTTACACAGATCTCTCCCAAATTCTCCCCTCATTTCTTAATCAGTCTTGCCAGCTCTGATCCAAGAAGGATATTTCCATATGTCCCAAAACTTTCTTTTTATCATTAGCTCTTGAGCCACCTGTTAATATTAACTACATGTCATTCCTTCTTATCTAAGAACCAGAAGAATAACACTTTAGGTCACTTGAACAGGGTGGGGTAGGAGGGCAATTCCCCCAGGCTGGTGCAGTCATCCATGACAGATCCCTATCTGCAGCATAATTAGTCCCCAGATGAAAAAAATGAATAGTGGATCATCATTGCATACGTCTTTAGTAAGCCCCTTCACAAACCCTACCTCCAAAAAAAAGATACAGCAGACAGAAAAAAGGTAAAGGAATGGCAGCAGTGATGATCAGGGGTCTGAAAGACCTCTGTCTGAGGCAAGACTAAATACTAGGTCAAGACTTTTCAGCTTAACAAAGATGAACTAGGGGCAGGGGAAATCGTAGAGGTCTACAAAACCATGAATAGCGAGAAGAAAGTAAATAGGAATGAATAATTTGCTCACTTTCACCGTACTAGAACTAGGGAACATGTAATTAAATTATTAGGTATCAGGTTTAAACCAAACAAATATAAGTTCATTTTTTACAAGGTGTGGAACTCTGCTGCAAGATGTTGTGGAGGCAGTTAATTTAACTGAGTTCAAAAGTGAATTGGACAAATCCATAAAAGATCCATCAGTTGGTAGTAAAAAATGACAGCCTTCAAATTAAGACATACTAGGCCTCTGAATACTGGAAGCTATAGGTGGAGAGGGGTAGGGGTTGGATCATTCACAACATGCCATTTAAATACTCTCTTTCTTAGTATTTCACACTGCCACTATGAAAGACAGGATACAGGGCTTGATGCACCAGTTTTCTGACCCAGTATGGCATTTCTTATGTTCTTATGGATTTTCTACTACTGTCACCAGGTGGGTTTTTTTTCAGCCTCACGTCCACATTGGGTATCATTACTTTTGTCAGACAACTCATCTTTCAATCTCTTTCTATAAGTACTGACTCTAGAATAATGTACAGTCAACAGATTCTCCATCAAGCCATCTTCATGGCCTCTGCAGTTCTTGAGGTCTACTACACAACTGTCACCAACATAGTTTTCTCCACCTTTAAAAGAAAAAAAAGATAAACCTCCAAGGTTACTAATGTCCATGCAAACTCTTCTGCCTACTGTCTGCTTTTCTGGCTTCTCTAGTCACCAGGCTTCTGTGGAACCAAATTCTTAAACTGATGTTGAAGTGAAGTAATGCCATTATAATCATGATTTGCACAGGATTTAAACACGTTCTGGGAGCAGAATTTGGTCCATGGTATTTTTCAAATCCTTCTATCAGAAGCACACTATCTCCACCCCTCTAACAAGGATTACTTGCAGAGGCTGGAAGTGAGAGTCACTTTTGGGAGGGTTATGAAAAGAGAAGGATCTTCATTCACCTCCTGAGTGGTCACAGGTTAAGAATAAGTGGGAGGAGCAAGGAACAAAGAGAAGACAAGACATACCATATTTACTCAAATGCAAGATGACCCTTAAAGGAAGATGACCCCCCAATATGAGTTTCTACATGCAAAAAATGTATAAATTTATTATAGTTTTTCCATGTGTGGAATCTAATTGTTAGAGAATCACCTTAAATACATCCCCTTCACTGCTGCAGGTGGTGGGGGAAGGGGTGATGAAGGGGACAGACAATGGGAGAGGCAGTATGGCAGGCAGTGAGAGAGGCAGGCAGCTTACCTCCTGCTGCCTGCTCCCCTCCCGCATTGTGCCTGTCCTACCTGCAGCCTCAGCTTGCTCTGTACAAGCAGGCTCCATCCCTGCTGCAGCCCAAGGCATGGAGCATGGCTCCAGCCAGGCCCCATAGCAGCAGGAGCAGCAGCAGGGAACCAGTGCTGGAACAGCAATGCTGGCTCCACATCACTGCTATGAGGCTGGGCTGGAGTCATGCTTCAAGTTTCGGCTCCAGGCTGCAGCAAAGATAGATTCTGCCAGTGCAGAGCAAAGGTAAGGAGGAATGTGGTAGAGAGAGAGGGAGAAGCAGTGTGGGGAAGGGAGACTAGGGGCTTCAGGGGACGAGTGGCAGGGCATGCAGAGGCAGTAGAGGAGGGACAGGCAGCAGCTGCAGCTCTAGCTCCAACCGCAACCCCAACCCTGGGCTGTTGCTGGAGCTGTCACTGCATCAGTTGCTCCCCACTTTCCTCATACTTGATTGTAATGTGAGGGGCTATTTCCCCCATGTTAAATGGGAGAGGGGGCACACTCATCTTCTAACCAAGTAAATATGGTAATCGGGTAGTGAGCTTGACAGGGAGGGAAAGATAGGATTGAAAAATGGTGAGGGATGAATGACATCCAATTGGATATCACATGGACAACATTTATAGCTAGATTCTCAGTTGGTATAAATAGGCACAGCTTGAGGATTTGGCCCCCATAATGAAAATGTGACTGAATATTTTTGAGAGAACCAAATGCATTTTTAAAATCTGTCATTTGTTTATAGGGCATAGACACTTATTATAGTGTCACATAACATTTATTAGAAAATCCAAATATATCCCCCATTACTTGGTCCAGTATCTATATGATCATTTATCTACAGTGAGTTTTACTGTAAGTGTGATTAGTTCCAAGAAGCAATTTCTCATGGCTGGGTTAAGTGTAATACTTACCATATTTTCTGTACAGATATATGCAGCATCTAACAGTCCAGATCACAAGCAAATGCCCACATTCTATAAAGAAGACTCCACAGATGGGATCCCAGTGATCTCAAAAATCTTCCATTTCTAGTACAGATTCCTAATTTACCCAGCCCCTAATTGACTTCAGTGGGCTCTTATTTGATTGATTCTTTTTTCCTGAAGCAGGCCAAAAATAGGGAACATGGGACTGAATGGTATTTACTGTTCCTTGAGACCCTGAAATGTTTTGTAACAACCCCAAGTCATATTTTTATTCAACATTCAGCTGAATCACCTGAAATTGCAAATTTTGACTTCAAATCTCACAGAAAACTCTTTAACGATTTCAGTTGTCTTCCATTTCCAATTAGTTAAGTTGGATGCACGTGATCACCTATTCTGTTTGCACTGAATGCTTCTTGATCTAGTTTATGGCCAACACCTATGCTTAATAGTTTGCAAATTTGGTAATCTAGTGCGGGGCAGGGAATTACATGAACTGCTTTGAAACAGAAAAGAAAGTTTAGTTTATGTTCTTCTTGGATTAGGTGAAGGTTCAAGAGGGTTCCTCACACTTCCCTAATCAGCATAAGTACTGCATTTAAATCAAATCAGGAAATTGTAACAGGTAAGGTTTGTGCTGTTCATGGTAATAAGGGAAAAAAATTGAAGTGGCTTCATGCAAATTGTTAGAGGCTCTTCACATGTTTCTTATGTCTTGTTACATTTGGTTTGCATGCACAGCACTGATACTTTTGTCAATGACTCTATATATCAACATTTTGAGTATCATCTTTTATTCATTCCTTTTAAAGTTATCTTCATACTCGGAAGCAGTATGTTTCTGGAGGCATAGTCAGAAAGCTTTGTCTTAATTTGTACAAACTATTCAGTTCAAACTCCTTCTGTAGTTAAAATCATTTAGAGTTTTACCATACTTCTGCTACATAGCTCATTAAAAATCATATGAAGCTTCCAAAATAGAATCCTGACTGCATGACAGTCCAAATTATTAAGTGATTATAGAAATCGGATCAAATAGATGATCAGAAGTTCGGTAGTGGGGGGGGGGGGGGGGATTCTGTTATTAGCTAGTCTATAATGACAGCATTTCTTATCTTACAACTGTGACATGAAGAGGGAGCTGTAGCTCTTCTGAGACACAGTTCTGCCTGAACCAGCGAACCCAGCCAAGCTCCCCGATCTCCTGTCTTCTTTCTCTTTCTCTCCTTCTGTCTCCTTCTCTTTCTCTTGTTCGTTCTCTCACTCACTCTTCCATTTTTTGCCACTGTGCCAGTTAATTTAAATGTATCTGTTCAAGTGGAGATAATCCATGCAAATCAGAGTCACTGGCTCCCAGTGCTTGATTCACAAAGAGAACTCAGCTTCAGGAGGTCACTCGTTCACAGCTGCTCCTCCCATTATATTTTTCCCTTATTGCAGAACTGCTGCATGTATACAGTGACTGAAAGGACTCAATTTACTGCAACTGCTGCCTGGTTTTACTTACAACTTTCTGTAAAGGGAGACTTACCTTCTGTCTGTCTTGTTAAGGTAGGAAGTCTGATTCTTCTAAAGACATGTAATACCTCCACTGTTTTCTCATTATCAGATGCCACTATAGTGATGCATATTGTTGTCAGCATTAGGTCCTAACAGGATAATGCCAGGTGCTTGATGCTTTTGTTACTTATATGTATAGGTGTAATTGTTTAAATGACTGTTGTTCTAATGCTTACTTAGCCAGTGTTTATCCTTTTTACAGTATCGGGCAAGGTCTTAATACAAAGTCTCTGATCGTCAGATGCAATCTTCAATCAAGTTTATTTTTTTAATGTTTTCTAATCTATGTGTAAGTTAATGCAGTGCTGTCTTCACCAAGTGCAAAAATTAATATTGTTAGGGATTTCTGGCCTTGAACTTTATTAGACTATTATCTCTGGAGCAGAACAAACTGTTGAAATGTTTTAAACAAAAAATAGAAAGGTCACCTTTTACTTTGCACTGTTGTAAACAAGGGAAACTGAAGGCCTTGCTGGAAATGGGCCTGTCAAATAAATTTAAGCCACAAGATAAACATATTGTTAATAGAATTGCCAGTGGTAGTGGAAGTAATGAAATGGAACCATTACAGTTATGTGTTAATATCTATTGTTTAGAAATGTTGGACATGCAATACTTGCTGCAAAAAAAGTGCAACAGAATCTCAAGAAACTAAGTGAGCATAATTCTTATAGAACGTGTTTAAAAAAAAAAAAGAAGAAGAAAATTTAGGCACTATTTAATTAGTCTCAAAGTGTATGAGGCAAGAAATATGAGACTGACGCATTTGAAAGTACACACTGATTTTATGAAGGAAGACAGTAACTCTGGCATTACTTCATATACATTTCTTAAGATGTGCTGGCAGAATATAGGGTTAAATCTGAAATGTGCCTTTATTAAGACAACTTTAGATATATTCATATACAGTAAAATAAGAGAGACATGCAGTACAGAAATTACAGTAGTAGAATGTTTTGCACGCACCCTTGTCCCGCCATAAAAGTTGCTGTTCATTACCTAAAACAGCTGGAATTAGTAAATAACAATTTCTTTTCTTCCTCTCACTCTTTTTCAGTAGAGTGCCTATATAAATAGGACCTGATGAAATCACAGTAGACCGAAAGCTCTGAAACACAACAGAAATGAGACACAAATTTAGTAAAGCAAACTGGACAGAAAGAGGGGGACAGAAAAAAAGCCTTCCTTACTTTCTTGAATAATATTGAAGATACAAATCTTCAGTTTCATCTTTGGGGAATGGACACTTTTAGGCTTCAGAAAATGTATTTGCTACCCACATTATCTCAGTGCCTAAAATATGCATCTTTTCTCTTTGATATACAGTCTGCTTTTGTAAAAAATGTATTCTGATTTTGGAGCATAGTACAAACCAAGGGAGCCTTGTCATTGTTAGCATAAAGAAGACATCTACACAAGTATTACTGTGCAGAGGGCAATCTTTCTTTCTCTGGCATTTGTTAGGTTACTGTACATAGAATTTAGCAGATAAATATCTTCTGCTTCCTGGCATTTTAGTGATCCTATTGGTATGCAGACTGGTCTACTAGGATGGCAACTGGAAAAAGAAATATGTTTTATAGCAGTGTGTAATAAAAGCCCTTCACAATGATGTAAGTGGAGTCTGACCTTTCTTTCTTACACGGTAATTAGAATTTCTATTAACTATTTCAAGTGCAGAGTTTTTTAAGTAAATTGACATTACCTAGGAGGAAACAGCATGTATGTTTCAGCTATGTGTTCATAAACAATGAATTGTAGCAATACTTCCAGATAGAAACAAAGAAAGAAAGATTTCTTCATGCTACTTCCTGCACCTAAAGTGATTTTAATTTATAGAAAGAAAGGTGCTGTGCAAAACCATTCTGCTAAGGAACAAGAATATTTATACGATTATTATTATTATTATTATTATTATTATTTTAGTATTACCACAAAAATGGGGGGGAGGTGTTGGGGAGAGAGGGAGACAGAATTATCATTAGGAAAACTAAACTTCAGAAAAGGCATATTGGGGATCTTTTATTTGACTGATTCTCTGGCCCAGGGTAAAGTTGGGGAAGTAAGGGTGATCCCTGTGGAGTTTGGTAATACAGTAAAATGAGATTAGATGAATCAATACTGGAGATATGACAAGGGGATGAAAGGGCCTTTCAGAGGAAGATTTTTTTTGTAAGTAGATTAAAAAAAACCCACTCTAGCAGACAGTTATTTCCTACTTCCTTTCTCTCTTCTACCAACTAACCAATGTTTTACACACATGGAAATATTTCTTGGTGAGTCATAATGATCTTTTCAGAGTTCCAAATGATATGAATGATTCTTTTAAATTCACTGAGCTTACATCATCATGATTTGTTGAATTGATTGGTTCCCTGAAATAAAGGAGATGAGAGTCAGTCTGACATATTATCTATGTCTCTGAATTTTTATTTGCAAGTCTCCCAGGAAGCTCTCCAAAGATCTCACCTTTATGTTAAACTTCAAGTTAGTCTGCTTAACAAAATTATTAGGGTCCTTCTACCCCTAGTTTCTGTTTTATACTGCCAATGGTTTCTTCCTTTTCATCTGTGAGCTTGCCATTGCTATAGTAACTCACTCAAACGCCTCTCCAAGATAAGTTACATTTTACTCCATTTTAGTGCACCTTGAAGCAGAATCTATAGGATGCAGTAAACTGTGTAGCCATATATAATATAGTGCACTTACTCCCTTCAGACTCTTTTCTGCTAGTTTTACAGAGAACAGTTAAAAAGATAAATTATCATCTTAAAAGGATGCTGTATAGATTCTTAATAAATTCCATCCAACTTCTTAAGGGTCCAGTAGGTCATAGTCTTGAGCTGGTAGGTAAATTTACAGCAATGTGTCTTAAAAATATTCAAGGGGGAGGGAGGTGGTATTTGGGGAAATGAGGGACCATAAGATAGATCATTTAAGAAAATACAAATCTGTATAGATTTGAAAGAAAGAAACTGTCTACAAATTTATCAAGCGGTGAGATGCAATGGCTGATTTGCCATAGCTGCAGAAAAGAACACGTTGCCCAAGTTTTCTCATCAATTTCTCTTTGATTATATCATGCTCTCCTTTTAACAGTACCTTTCATTGCTTCCTACCCATGAATATACTGCTCTAGTATCATGTTCCAAACTTCAGGCCTCTTATTCATGATAAAAAATATTGCTACTGGAAGAAAATAGCTTACTTATACCTCAAGGGGTTAAAAGCTGAATCAGTTTTGTAATTGATGGACTTACCTACTAACAACCTTTGAAGCTCTTCTCTCTCCCTTTTTTGTCTAAAGAACAAGATTGACATTCCTTTTATAAGTTTGGAATTCTTCAGTGGGTGGAAGGTGCTTGGTAGTAACTGAAATTAACCTGAGGCTTTGTCTGTCTACCTTTTCTTGAAACTTCATTGAAGTTTTAGTAACAGTTAACATTTTTATGCAAACAACTGTTCTCATCAGAACACTGCATTCTTCTGTCATGTCATACCTTTCTTTGTAATTTTGGGGTATGTTTAGAGGTGGGCCCTTTATTCCCTTACATATCTATCTTTGTTTCAAGAAGTCTAAATGAAAATTTTCCCAGTTGAAATGCACCAAAGGAGAGACAGATAAAAGAAAATAAATGGAGTGGAAATGCATCTTTAAATGGTTAGCCTGAGAAACATTGAACATGGTTATCTGACATTATGTCAGAAAGTGTTATCTCTAGAGGAGAAATGAGCAAGAGCAGGTCCATATAGAAAAGTAATTGTTACTTTACTTCTGTCTGTTTATTTGGGTTAGCTTGAACTGTCTCCCACTTATTTTTTTTTCTCCCAGTGTGAAAAGATCAACTATTACAAATGCAGCCAGTAGGAATTTGACTCAAAAGCTATGCTCATTTGACCTCTGGATACAAAATATCTAAGATAAACAAAAATCTGAACAGCTTCCCCACGTAATCAAGTGCAGAAATATGCGGAACATAGGTCCATAGCAATTTAACGATTTTAGAATAAAGATAAAAAAATTGGTACTACTGTTAGAATAGCATTTTCTTTCCCAGATTCTCTTCTAAATAGTGAACACTGGATTTGTCTTGAAAACAGTACCCAGTACATAAGATGAAAAACCCTTGGCCAAATTGTACATAGCTTTTCCTCAGTGAAATTTAAAATGGGTGGGAGCAGTGAATCGGCAAAGAGATGCTATTTTAGCAGTGTAGCTTAATATTTCCATTTCCCAAAGATAAAAACAGACCAAAAAAACCCCCCAAAACTATAGTAGCCACCTGAGAATTAAGAGTTGGTTTAATTTCTGTATGATGCTCCTAGTGACTTTTTCCCAAGAATACATTTGTCACTTGTGCATGTCATTCCTATCACTCTGCTGATGTTGCCACATTAAAAAAAAAAATCCTTTGAGAGTTAAATAAATATGCACTGGTGTGGCTGAATTTCTAAAAACTACATTCTTCATGAGCTATTCTTTCAGCTTTTTTCTCTTTGCTACCAGGATCATAATTGTAAAAGGGTGGAAAAAATAGAATGCACCCATTCTAAGACAGATGACTAAGAAAAGTTTTTAGGATCTGTATGTGGCGAAATTCACTGGTCTCAACAGACCAATAGACCCAATACTTACACATTTAACTTGCCTTTATAGAGGAGCCTGTGGCTCAGAAACTACACTTTAGCTAAGGGGGACAACAACCAAAGGATTAATAGCTTGCTAAAGGGAATATAGCTGCTAAGTAGCCTACGCAATTTTCTATTATCTGACCTTTGCACTATGTTACGTTACGTGAGTTAGTGGACCAATAATAACAAAGTAATGTTAACTATGACACCGTGACCTTGTACAATAAAAAGTATATTAAGAAAGAAAGAAATTTCAAAGTTGGCCCCAGCATTCCTGAGCTATTTTATGCTCTGTATCCTTCCAATGAAGAAAAGAGACTTACACAAAGAATTTAGATAATTTCTGAAAGAAGGAAAGCTTATTAAATCTTTCTTATTAGAACTCTCTTATCCTCACCAAGCCCCATTTTGGTCCCTGCAGAATAAGGAGGTTGTTTGTAAAGACAGCTCCAAAGAGGCGAGACCATGCATATGAAATTATTCCACATTCCCCTCATTGTATAGGACTGCTCTGCAGCCAATTTTTCATCTACTAGGCTTGCAGTAGCTTCTGCACTCACTATCCAAGTTGTTTAGACAGCCGGGTTGTGTTAGTCACAGATCAACCAGGTGTAAATTTACATCTCTGTCCCTTTCTGCCTCAGCCCAGTTCCAAAACTCCCTTCCACACTCTAGCACACAGAGGGTGCAACCCCTCTGTAGAGGATCTTCACATCCTGCCTCTGTCCAGGTACAACACAACTATCCCATTGCCTAAGTAGAATTAGGAACATACATCCTTTGTACTTGTGACAAATCCTACAGTCCTTACTTTGTCTGCCCGAGTAGGCATTTCAGGATTTGACCCCTAGAAATTAGGAACAATGTTTACAAAGTGACCACTGATTTGGAGTATCTCTTTGTTTTTCAGGAGCCCATCTTGAGGCACCTAAGGACCAATTAACATGAATGCCAAGCATTCACAACTCCAGTCAAGTCACTGAGAGCTGAACAGGCTTGGCACTTCAGAAAAGCAGGTTCCTGGCACTTTGCTCAGTTTGTTCTCCCAAAGTCAACAGCCATCTTTGACTGTAAATATCTGAATCAGAAAACTGACACAAACTCTTGAGACTGCTGTTACGTGCCTGGTCAGGCAGGAGAGTAGACAGACACATGCACAGAGAACAGCATTGAGGTAATAACAGGGGGAAATCAAAGGCACTGCAACAATACTGGTTGCATGTATAAGGCATGTTTTATGGGTCTGCACATTTGGTTTTAATTTCTTTTGAAATTACCGAATAGAGTCTGATAAACTAAACATAGCGGGGATTGGCTTGGACTCGACTCTTTATGTTGTTTATTGTGTGTGCTCTCCTGTCTTCTCACCCCGTCCCCAGTCAATCCCCCCCACACCACTACCACCAAAATCCATCATGAGTATGTCATAAAACCTATTTAATTTCCTATGAAAGATTATAGTAAGTGTGCTTTTAATGTAATGATGTCAGTGGTGGATGATAACATGTATTAGGCAGCACAAACTGCTGATTATCTGTCAGGATAAATCTGTTTATTTCAGAAATAGCAGTCTGACAACCCCCTGTTGTTAATCGTGAAAGTACATGCTAATGCCAGGTACTGTTTGGTAGGATTCTCGCAAAGGAATGTGTTCACTAGGCTCTTGCTTTGACATTCTTTACATCTAGTTTTGCAAATTTTTCATATTAAAAAAAAAAAAAGCATCTGAGGTAGGAGACAAGCAGCTGATGTACCATTTAAGTTTGCAGCTATTCATAGGAAAGATGACTTGTAAAATGAGAGAGTGGATTATAGGATTATGCTGTAGTTCAGACTGTGCCTATGGCTGGGCTTGTCATTAGTGATTTCAATGCAGGCCCATTAGTATTAACCCAGGGAAGTAAAGAAAAAGCACAAG